TATGTCTCCAAATGCAAGCAATGCACGCTACAGACACGCAACACGCCACACGACCAGTCATACGTTCCGCCGCGGTCCGGTGCACAATTGTCTGTGCACTGCTTTACGTTTGTCTGGTTCGGCTGTAGACAACAATGGCGCCCCAGACAAACGTAAGATGGGCGCCCACAAGTGGGACGTCTGGCTTTGGCTATGACGCGGCCGTGACGCGTGTTGCGTGTTTATGACGTTTTTCTGCCTGCAGGCATAGACATGAAAGAAGAACCAACTATCGCAATACTCCAGCATCACTGCCATGCAGTTCCAAGTAGCAAAAGTGATACTTTTCTACTGCTGCGGATCTGCTCACCTCGTTCACTGAAAAGACCAACCTCGCAGGTGGGCGTGCGGAGTGTCGTGTCCCTAAGCACCTGCCACAGTACCTTCTTCCTTGTCTTCACGTAAGTGTCTTTTAGATTCTTCCACTGTTTCTCCACTTCTTCAGCTGAAAACACAAAAACAATGAGAACTGATTTCCCAGAAAAAAGGAAGCAGTGCAAATGATCAGTCAATACAACGCAGAATGTGTTAATGTATCTACACCAAACCCATTTACCCCCCCCCCCCAACTTTTGTGAAAACTTTGAAGTGTTTTCTAGGCGCCATACCACTGTGAAGCGGTATATGGGCAGCTATCAAGCATGGAGACACTATTCTCCCCTTGGCCTCCCAGTCCCCAAGGCCCAGGCCACATTCTGATCAAACGCCCGAACAGTTTTAGCACCAGAGGCGCTAAACAGCCCCCGTACCATTCCCTTTCGCGTTATGCAGCTAATGCGAATCCAAGATACCATAGGGGAGTGAGCATCCACATACAGAATGGTATACCCCTAACGGGTTTACAAGGGTTAATAAAGTAAATAGAAGAAACCACTCACGCGTGGACATCTGCGGATCGAGCTGATTCTGTTGATTTATCAAGTTTGTGACCTCTACAAAAAGTTCTTTCCTTGAAGGACCAACAGTTTTCTCCCTGAAAACAACCATCTACAGTAACTCTCCGTGGAGGTCTATGTCTGTGTATAAGACCCTACCTCTGACAGTCCCAGATGCCAGGTCGTAGATAGACAGCATCGATAATACTGAAGCGAATTTCGTCGGTGATCATCGAACCGCTGTGATGAAGATGAACAGATTCACTCCTCTGGAAACGCTCTCTTAACCCAAATCAGAATAAAAAATCTTTGGATTGTTGCCGTATTTCGCTCTTTTAGAACTTCCACCCCGTCGCAGATCAACAGTTCTAGCTGAACACAATAATCAAGGGGAAAGTGCTACAGCCAACAATGAGGACAATGAGACTTCAAAAAGCTAAATGGGCCTTACACGAGCTAGGAAGCACAGAAGCTGAAAATGCCCTGAATAACACCCTTTAATATCGAGCATCGCTCAAGTATACTGGGCGGATGAGTTCTTGTGTGTAAATATTAATATGATAATCATTTTTAGGAAGGGTTCAGACTTTGCGACGATGCATTGTAATGCGCTGCAATTGCGAAGAGCTCCTAAGACTACAGAACGCGAATGCTTTCGCGCACGCGAATCGTCGCCGCCCCTTGAGCCTAGGGGTGGAGATATTGCCCAATTCCTTCTTAAGTGCGCTGATCAATGTTCCCAGTCGCACTTGTCAAAGTGTCATAAGACTTAGCGCTTTTCCAATAGCAAGGAGCCTAGCGCGATCATCGCCAAAGCCTGAACGCAGCCTGCCTCCGCTAGCTGAAGTCGCGGGACCACCTGCCCACGCACGTCCCCAAAAACGTATGCAGCTTTGAGCCACAGACGACCCAGAGTTGACTATATCGCCATAGGCAGCACTCTTCATCTAAGCCTGAGGCAGCTTCGGACTTCGCGGCGGCCACCGCGTCGCATCGGTTCCCATCGAGCGACACTTACGAGGAATCGATCACGTCGAACGCGCGACCATGGCCGCTGCCGTCGCGAAGTCAGAACGCTGCACAAGTTTCTATTAGTTGAAGGAATGCGGACACGCTAGCGAGTGGTTCTCTGAACTACTTTAGCACTTTTTTCCTTGTCAGCTTCCCTTTACTTCTTTCGTTCCTGTCCTGCCGCACGTTATTTAGCGCTTGGCAAGGGGCGGCATTCTAGCATCTGGCGAGGAGCAGCGCGCCAAAATTCGCTCTGTTGCGTCATTGCCCCGTCTTTCCACGTAAAGATAGCGGCATTTCACAGACGGCTGTGAACGAGTGCATCTTATACAGAGGACGCCTACCTATTAGTATATCACACGCCAGTTTATACAAAAAACCTCTCACAGTTGATCCCTTCTATGTTGGCATCTAACCCATAAATAGCTAAGTCGCATGCAATATGGGCTGCTAATCCATGAAGAGTGATCTCCTCAAGATGCTCTCATTTCTAAGCTCGAAGAGCAAACAGCCTCCTTTCATCAATCTCAGTAGCACTTTCCATGTCGTAAAAATGATTGATGAGAAATAGTTAATATTCAGCGTTCAGCGGAACGTATCTCATTCCCAATGCATTACTCTCATATTCCTCGCGTTGATATGCAGCACTAGAAAAACTACAATTACTCAGAGCGGCTGCCAAAGCTCATCACCAGGCTTTGAATAGGGTGAAAAATCGTCCAAAGCAACCCGAAAGTGAGTGACTCTATCAAACCCTCCAATTTTCGAAAAACCCTCAATAGCAGGAATGATCTGCAGAGTGATTCTATTCGGGGAAACAGAGGAGATTTCCCTCTTGAAGACGCGGCAACTTGCAAAGTGGCGCCTCATCCCTTTAAGGCAGCGTTCAGACTTCGCGACGGCAGCGCTTCGGTCGCGCGTTCGACGCGATCGATGCAGTCGAAAGCATGCGCATCGATCGCCGAATGCGCGACCGAAGCGCTGCCGTCGCGAAGTCTGAACGCTACCTAGCCCTAAAAGACGTCAGCTTTGAGGGGGGTGTGCAGGGAGCTTTGAGAGCTTCGGAGCACTTCTGTCAACCGAACATTCTCCTCGCTGAAGGTCCAAGTATTCTCTCATCGTATCTAGTGGCCCAGCACGAAGCTTCTCATGTGTGGGGAAAAAAGGAAGAGGAAATTGGAAATGGACTAGGACTTCAACTGCCCGTTGTGGTTTCAAGAAGTAGTTTTTTCGACTTCAGTCTGGACTTAGCGAATGTGAGTCTGAACCCCGACCCATACCCCATGGCTGTTAAACTGCTCATAAAGCAATAGCTCAGCAAATGAACTTGGGTTCGACCCCTCACCCGCGGACCTTTCAATATGGTCATTGACGGGAATCCCCAAGTTTCCCCTCCCGATCCGTAAGCATGTCCTGCATCAGCCAATGGAACCACAGCTTGTCTCCC